AACTTCATTTTTTCCCAAATGGCAGTACTATTTATTAAATAATTCATATTTTTGTCACTGATTTGAAATGCCACCTAGCTCTAAATTTTAAGAATAAAAAGAGGCCGCCTCGATTTAAACCTCACACCATATACAAAAATTAATTCAAAATAAATCATGGATTTAAAGGTAAAATATAAAACTTTTAGAAGATAACACAGGAGAGCATTTTCAGTACCTAGAGAGAAGCAAAAAATTCTCAGACAAGACACCAGGGCAAAATCTGTAAAATAAAAAATTAACAAATTGGACTCCACCAAAATTAAAAACTTTTATATTGTGAAATCCCTGTTAAAAAAGATTTAAAAAAACAACAACAAGGTGCAGACTACGAGAAAATATTTGCATACCACATATTCAACAAAGACCTACAAATAGAATACATAGAGAACTATCAAACCTCAACAACAAAGCCCTGGCTAGGTAACTCAGTTGGTTACAGCAGGGTTGTGGGTTCAATCCCTGGTCAGACCTCATACAAGAGCCAATCAATGAATTCATAAATAAGTGGAATAGCAAATTGATCAATCTCTCTCTCTCTTCCTCTCCCTTCCTCTCTCTCAAATAAATCAATAAAAAAAAATCTCAAAAGCAAAAATCCAAAAAAATCTAATTATAACATGAGCAATATAGTTGAATAAATATTTCACCAATGGGGAGAAGTGGGTGGCAAAGAAGCACATGAAAAGATGTTCAATACCTTCAGCCATTTGGGAAATGCAAATTAAAATTTTAAACCACAATGCCATACCATTACATACCTATTAGAATGACTAAAATAAAAAATAATGATGACACCAAATGCTGACTAAGATGTAGAGAAACTGGAACTCTGATACATTGCTGGTGGACATTTAAAATGATACAACCACTCTGGAAAACAGTTTGGCAGGTTTTTACCAAACTAAACATGCAGTTACATATGACCCAACAATTGCACCCTTGGCTATTTATCACAGAGAAATAAAAACTCGTGTTCACACAAAAACCTGTACATGGCCTGGCTGGGCATGGCTCAGCAGTTGAGCGTTGACCTAGGATCCAGGCGATCAGGGTTCAATTCCTGGTCAGGGCACATGCCCGGGTGGCAGGCTTGATCCCCAGTGGGGGGCGTGCAGGAGGCAGCCGATCAATGACTCTCTCATCACTGATGTTTCTATCTCTCTCCCTCTCCTTTCCTCTCTCTGAAATCAATAAAGATATATTTAAAAAAACAAAAAA